GCCCCGCCCCTCGGGCACGCCCAGCCCGGCTTAGTCCCGTCCGGCCCCGCCCGGCTCGGTGGACCCCGGGGCGTGCTAAGGTGCGCCCAGCCTCTGCCCGTCTTGGACTTATGCGCCCCGAGAGAAGGGCAGGTGGACAAACCCAGTGGCCCAAAGAGATCCGAGTTAAGCGAGGTGCTTGGCATGGGCGGGCCCAGCAATGCTCCGTGCAGAGAAGGCTTCGGCTGGGGACGCGGGTCGCGCGGGTCGGCTCCCCGAGAACGCGACAGGGATGGAAGGTCGACAGGGATGGAAGGTCGGCCGGCCCACGCCTCTTAGACCCTCGGGCACGCATGCCAGTGCCATCCCACCCGGCCCCAGAGAACCCGGCTCCCTGCGTGGACCCAAGCCGGGCGCCTCCTCCGCAAGGACACTCCTGGAGGCCCTCGAGGCGCGGTGAGGCTGTTTCTCACTCCACTCCGTTCACGTGGCGTGGGGAGAACATCCTTCTCAGGCCAGTTCCACCAGGCGCTGAGCGACCTGAGCCCTAGGCCCTCCTGCAGGCTCCCTCCGGGGCTCTGTGATGACCGGTGGTGCTAGCTGGGTGCTCTTTCACCCCTTCACCCTCAACACCCAACCTGGCCCGACCTCTCCGACCCATTCACATCCCCCTGCAATGACTGCAGATCCCAGCCCCCGGCCCTGCACCCCATCCCGCAAAGCAGCCTCTCCACCCATAGGGACCACACTCAGCCACTCTCCACCCTGGGCCATTGCCTGAACCTCTGTCCCCGCCAGCAGCTGAGTGGCCCACCCGAATCCTGGCTCCATCGCCTCCCAGCCTGAGACCCTGAGTCAGCTGTGCGCCCCTCTAAACCTGGAAGGTAGTGCTCCCCTCACAGAGCCAGGAAGGCCGTGACTGGAGGAAAGGCTGCCATAAGCCCACAGGGGGTTTATCTGTGCTCTTTAGACGTGTTTTACCTTCACAGAGAAAAGAAAAGGCCCAAATGAGAAGCCTCTCACCCTGCACCCCCGTCTCCCACAGACTCACGAGACCTGGGGCCTCCCTGGGGCACTGGGTGTGGTGCTCCCGCCCTCCCAGGGCTGAGCTTGGGGCCCCCAGGGGCCCGTCACCCCCACCTGCCCACAGGTGACTGTGGGGGCGTGAGGGGCTCGGGGATCAGGGCCCCAGACCCGCGCGGGTAAAGCTGCATGGTCGGACAGATCCACGGGACACTGGGAGCTGGCAGAGCGGTCAGCCCAGACCGTCCTCTCTCAGGTTATCAAACTGCCCAGAAAGAACATACAAGGAAAACGCACAGCAAGGGTTTTCATTTGCAGCCCGGAGTCTGGTCACGGAAGGGGCCAAGAAGTGGGCCAGGTAGCTGCACCCCTCAGCGGGACCATCTAATTCACATCCTAGCCCCTCATTTTCCTTGGTGACTCCCTCCACCGTGGGGGGGGGGCAGAAAACTCAGGATGGACCTGAAACACAGAGGTGTTGCAGGAAACAAGGATCCTGATTTCAAAGACGCCAGGGACACAGGGGACAACCAGATGGCCTGACAATGTGTCCAGCAAAGAGAAAACAAGGATGGTGTGTGCAGTCAAGAGAAAGGATCGGGGGAGGGTGCAGCTCAGTGGCAGCACGCATCCTCAGCACGCACAGGGTCCCGGGTTCCATCCCCAGTACCTCCTCCAAAAAATAAATAGCTAACCCTAATTACCTCCCCTCCAAAAAAAAATTAAGAGAAAGGATAGATGTTGTAATGATACTTATAAGTGGCAATATCACATGAGGTCTGATGAGAAAGATGTGTGCAGGACGTGCTATGGACAGGCCCCTAGGTCCAGAGCGCATTCAGCCCCTCAGTCCCTTTCATGTGCATCAGTAAAGGGGCAGGCAGCGAGAGAACTCAATACTGGTGCCGGGGGCAGGAAGCTTCTCTCACAGGACGGAAGTCCAAGGCAGGGGTGCCTCTGTAATCTTGGGGTGGGTGCCAAGTGATGAGTCCAGCCTAGCCTCCAATCTGCCTGGAATCTCTCTCCCGGTCCCCAGACATGCCATCATTAAGGGTGAAAAGGCAGTAGGCGAGGGTATAGCTCAGGTGGTAGAGCATGTGCTTACCATGCACAGGGTCCTGAGTTCAACCCCTAGTACCTCCTCCCAAAACAAATAAAAAGTAAACCTACCTACCTCCCCCTCTCTAAATAAATAAGTAAATAATAAATAAAAGCAATTTGGAGTTACCTCAAATTAAAAAAAAGAAAGAAAAAAGAAACTAGTTAAAAAAACAAAAAGAGAATGAGAAGGCAAACCAGACTGGGAAAGGATGTAGGCAATATAGATCTCTGATAAAGAATGCCAATCCAGAATATATGAAGAGCTCTGTGAGATCAACAAGATAGACAATCCCATATCAGCAAAAGCAAAGTTCTTGAATCAGGCACGTTACTAAAGAGGGTATCCTAATGGTCGATTCGCATTTGAGAAAGTACTCAACATCCTTAGTGGTCAGGAACAGGACAATGAAACCCACAATGACATGTCATTGCACACTAAAATGGGGTGTGTGCGTCAGGTATGTAACTTGAAAGTGTTTCCTCCCAGACTGTAGCTTGTCTGTTCATTCTCCTAACTGTATTTGAGTTAATTTTTTTATGTGTTTTATGTGTCAGGAATCAGCTGAGGTGATTGATTGATTAATAGATTGATTTTTCTTGCCTATAGATGTCTAATTGTCCTAGCACCACTTGTTAAAAAGACTGCCTTCTCTGCATGGAATTGCCCTTGAACTTTGGTCCAAAATCACTTGCTCATATCGGTGTGGGGCTATTTCTTGACTGTCTACTCAGTTCCATTGTCTACATGTCTGACTCTGACAAAAACATGCAGTCTTGATTTCTGTGGCTTTAGAGCAAGTCATGAAATCAGGTCGTGTGGGCCCTCTAAATTTGTTCTTTTGCAAATGTTGGCCATTGTGCTTCCTTTGTCTGTGTGTGTGAGTTTTAGAATCAGCTTGCAGACAGCTACAAGAAAGTCCTGCTGGGAGTCTGGCTGGGATTGTGCTGAATCTATACAGCTATTTGGGGAAACTGACATCTTAACAAATGTTGAGTCTTCCAGTCCATGAACATAGTATAGCTTTCCATTTATTTAGATATTCTTTGATTTCTTTCGTTGGTATTTTGTAGTTTTCAGCACACAGATCCTGCACGTATTTTGTAAGATTTATATCCAAGCATTTTGTGTTTTCTGGCACAATTGTAAGTTGTGCTTTTGAAACCTTTGGTTTCCAGTTGTTCTCTGCTCATGTTTAGGCACTGAGTTTTGTATATTGACCTTGTGTCCTTTAATGTTCTGAACTCACTATTAAGTCAAGGAATTTTTATAGCTTCAGAATTTCTACATAGACAATGATCTTGTTCATGAATAGCGATAATTTTATTTTTTCCTCCTTATCTGGATTGCTGGGAAACAAGCTGCCGGACAACAAGCAGCTAGAAAAGAAGCCACTCCTAAATTTCCATGAGCTTAAACGACTATATTCACACTTGCTTGCTTAAAATGCACGTGCTTGCTTTGTTTTAATGTTTTGTGCAGTAGAAGACCTATAGCACATATTATGCTGAAGAAAACTTGTGAGGAGCAATCCTGACATTGACCATAAGGGCATGAAGGAGGGCAGATATTTCCTCAGGGCAAAACAATGGACAGTCTTGGAAAGCCAGATTGTCCACTAACAGAACTTTGTTCTGGCATGAAAGCTGCTGTTGAACCCAGGGGAAGTATTTGCTATCTCGAGATGTCCCAGAGGCAATGACAGGATAGACTCAGAAATTTTGCACCCCGGGGTGGCTGTTCCTGGAAGGGATGGGCCTGAAATGAATCAGCTAACCAGCAAGCAGAACTTAGTGCTTATGGCATGGAATATCTAAAGCCCCGGCTCTTTGATCGCTTTTCTGAGCTGTGTACTCCTAATAAATATGATGTCGACCAGGCTTTCGGGGCTCTAGATCCACGAGACCTTGAGTCCCCTGGTCCCATCTTTGCTTTTTACTTTGTCTCTTTGTTTCGTAAGTCTTGCGTCACCCGTCCTCAGACACGGTCCCGAGGTGTGCTGGGCGCAGCACTGGATGACTCTCCCTTCCTCCCTCCCTCCCTTCCTTTCTTTTCTTTTAAGAAACTGCACTATAGCTGATGCACAGTGTTGTGTTAGTTCAGGTGTGCAGCAGAGTGATTCAGGTTATATGCGTGTGCATATGTGTATACACACTATTTTCAAACTCTTTTCCATTTCAGGTTATTACAAGATATTGAACATACTTCCCTGTGCTCCACAGCAGGACCTTGTTGTTTGTCTCTCTCTCTCTCTTTCTTTCTTTCCTTCCTTCTTTCTTCTTTCCTCTTATTTTCCTGACTGGGACTTGAATACAGTGTTGTTCAGAAATGGCAAAAGCAGACATGTTTGACTGCTCTCAGTCTTATGGGGAAAACGTTCAGTCTTTCACCATTAAGTATGCTGTTAGCTGTGGTTTTGGGTTCCTTATTAAAGAAGTTCTCCTCCATTTTTAGTTTCCTGAGAGTTTTTAACATGAACGGATGTTGAATTCTGTCAAATACTTTTACTGCATCTATTGAGGTGATTACATAGTTTTCTTATTTTAGTCTGTTGATGTGGTGAAGAGCATTGACTGAGTTTTGAATGGTGAACCAGCCTTTCATTTATGACATAAATCTTACTTGGCCATCATGTACTGTCCTTTTTGTATATTGCTAGATCCAATTTGGTAATTGTCGTCAAGGATTTTTGTGCCTATATTCGTGAAAGACACTGGTCTGTGCTTCTTCCCTTTCATTGTTTCTGCCTGGTTCTGGTACCAGGGCAGTGCTGATTTCCTAAAGTGAGCCGGGAGGTACTCCCTTCAGCTCCATTTTCCATGCTAGACTATAGTCAGCCCTCCGTACCCTCAGCTGTACATCTGTGGATTTGACAAACTGTGGAACAAAAAAACACATTTTTTTAACTCCAGAAAATTTCAGAGCAAAACTTGGACTTGCTGTGTGCTGGCAGCTGTTTGCACAGCATTTCCATTGCAGTCGCTCTTGTTTATGTAGCAGTTATATGTGTCAGCTATTATAAGATCTAAAGTTTGTAAGAGGATGTGTGCGGTTATATGCAGACACTACACGTTTTTATATAAGGGCCGTGAGCATCCCCAGAGTTTGATGTCCGTGGGGGTGCCTGGACAATCCCCTGTGGGCACCAAGGGACGACTGGATAGAACTGATATTAATTCTCCCTTCAGTGTTGGAATAATTTGCGGGGCAAAACCTATGGGCCTGGAGTTTCCTTTGATGGGTTTTAACTAAGAAGTCAGTCCCTTCATGCACATAGGACCGTTCAGGCTGTTTCTTCTTGAGTGAACGTGGTAGTCTGTCTTCCAGGAAATTGGCCTATTGGTGTTAGTTTTCAGATCTAAGGACCTAGAATTGATTATAATGTTCTTTATTATCCTTTTTACTCCTGTAAGATCTCTGGGGACACTTCTTTTATCCCTTAGATTTGTAGAGTGTATCTTTCTTTTTTTTTTCTTTGTCCGTCTTGCTAGAGTTTAATTGATTTTACTGATCTTTTCAAAGAGCCAGCTTTTGGTTTCTTTGATTTTTTTCTATAGCTTTTTGTTGTCGTTGGCAGTGGTCGTGGTGTTTCCAGTTTTACTGATTTCAACTCTTTATTTCCTTCCTTCTGCTTGCTTTGTGCCTAATTTGTTCTTTTTCAAGCTTCTTAAGGCCATTTGTTCGAGACAGTTCTTTTCTAACGTAAGTATTTATAAATTTCCCTCTGAGATGCATCCCACACATGTAGGTGTTCTCAGGTATCTCCAGTGCTTTCCCTGAGAGTTCTTCTGCAGCCCACAGATTACTTACAACTAGGTTGTTTAATTTCCAAATGCTTGGAGATTTTCCTGTTTTTCTTTTTATTGTTTATTTCTAGTTTCTTTCCCTTATGGTGAAAAAAATGCTTTGTAGAACCTCAGTTCTTTTAAATGTGTTAAGGTTGATTTTATGACCCAGACTATAATCTGTCTTGGTAAAGGTTCCACATACACTTGGAGAGAATGCAATCTGCTCTTGCTGGGTGGGGAGCTGTGTCAGTGTCTCCAGGTCTCTCTCCTTGCTGGTTTCCCACCTGTTCTGTTAATTACTGAG